CCCCTCCCCTACCTCGAACAACCAAACCCTAAACACGCAGGCTGCTCCTCGGAGAGCTGCTTCGAGTGCTGCCTCAAGTCCGGCAAGCCCTGCGAGGCGCACGCCAAGCAGGTAGAGCGGAAGCACAGGGAGGACGAGCTGCTGCTGGGAAGAAGGTCGTCGGGCGGCGGCGGCGGCGGCGGCGGCGGGGCCGGCGGCAGCGGTGGCCTGATGTCCCCCGGTCTTCCCGGAGGTGCCTTTGACGATGGGACGGCTCCCAGGGCACGGCTCCCGCCGGGGGCATTCAAGGAGGCCGCCTTCCAAGGTTAGGAGAGAGCGGGGGGGAGGGGAGGGGCGGATGTGCTCTCAATTTTGTGCGTGCCTTGCTGCTTGCGCGTCCGTCTCACTTACTTGTCTTCTGGCGCCATTCACACACCCCGGTCTTTTTTTATTTGAGACGTACGTATCAGGCAAGGGATTTGTGTGTGATCGATAACAAGTTGACCCGTTGTCTTCTGCAGACCCATGTTTGCAAGACACAAGAGCTTGCAGTTGAACAACCTTTTTTTTCTTTCTTTTTTTCGCCGGCGCCGGCGCCGTCGCTGCTGCTGCTGCTGCTGCTGCTGCTGTGCAACAGCTACAGGGGAGACGGCTACGCTGTGGTGCCTGAAGGACTTCGTGTGCGGGAAGGACACGCAGACCGCCATGGAAACCCTCAACAGGACAGAGGTACGTACGTACGTTGTTTCATTCACGGGGCCCCCTGTGCTGCGCTGTGCTGCATTTTTTCGCGCTCGCTTCCTCGGCCAAGAGACGGCTTCAAAACAACAATGCAGCCATTGTCTCCTTGTCATGTGTCCTGTTGTCTCACTACCCTGTGCTAGGCTTGTGTGATGGTGTTTGCTACGAAATAGAGAAATGAAATCAACAAGTAAGCCTTTCCCCAAGATGGACATGTTCCACGTGCGTACAGACGTTTTTTCGTCTTGTGTTCTCTTAGGAATTTTCCTCAAGTAGGTGTTGGTCCTCGCTGCTACTAACTATTGGCGTTGATGTCAGTGCTGATGTTGCCGTTGTTTGCACAGATTGTGCTGATCCAATCTCCTTAACGGTTTCGCGGGGTCACAAGCACGACCCTAGACAATTTCCGTCTTTAAGCCATGAAAAATGATCCTGGAGAATCGAACAGTCGCGTGTTCTTTCGCGAGTATATACATAGCACATCCACCCACGCGCCTGAGTGCCTCTCGTTCAGCTCAACCCCCCTCCCCCCCGCTGTATCGAGGTCAGTGGCTTAACGACTACGGCATGCTCGGCTATGAGCTCACCCCCCTGTATC